AATTGTATTTAGACGAGAGTCATGATATTATATTGAAAAATATTTACGCAAGGACAGTTAAGTTGTTTAAATTAAATAGATATATTAACGTGCTACTGTGTAAGTTATCAATCTATTATTTTTAATTTAATACAGTATTAATTAATGTATTTATATTCTAGTTACACCATGCACCACCTTGCTTGTACTAATTATAATAAAGTATTATACATTTGAGCAAGTTATATATTCATCATTATTTATTACCACATTGTTTATTAGTCTATATTTTATTTATTTTGGTTCATTTTACACAATATTATACTTTTACATAATTTGCTATTATATCAAATTGAGATCTAAATTACTAAATACTAAAATTGCTACATTTAAAACAACTAAAAATATAAATTATCAAGCTAAATTATGCGACATATTTGTTGAGCACAATATAATTTGCAAACAAATTCATATATTTAACACATTTTGGCGAAAGTATTACTTTTATCTAATCATAACTATAACACCAATTAATTTAGTATATCTAATCATGGTACTATTTACTAAATTGGATATTTTTGCCTTGATAACATACGGCTTAATAGTGCTCTATACGTGGATTTTCATATTTTTCATATCGTTTTGCGCGTCTCAGGTGTCAAAAGGCATACATTTATCACATAATAGACTATTTGTAATGCAATTACACGTGAGATATAACACGAGAGTTAAACTAAAACTGATGGCATTTATTGAGAAATTATTGTCAAAACGATTGAGTATTGGATTCTCGATAAGCTGTCTATTTGTGATGACTTTTCCCAAACTCAGTTTTGTATGTATTTTACATTAATAGTTAAAGTTATTCTGATGGCATTTATTGAGAAATTATTGTCAAAACGATTGAGTATTGGATTCTCGATAAGCTGTCTATTTGTGATGACTTTTCCCAAACTCAGTTTTGTATGTATTTTACATTAATAGTTAAAGTTATCATTATATTTACAGTGTTTTTCTCTAATAGATAACAGCCATGTACTGCAGGTATTTCATATTAACTACAAAAATGGCACGAAAATTATACAAATAAACAATTAATAAAAATCTCCCTTAATATTTTACAAATTTTATTGGACATAAAGTAATTTATAGTACATAGTATACTATAATTATTTACAAAATATATTACGGTATGCTGTATACGGTAATAGGTGTACTAATTGATCGGAAAACGTGATGTTTTTAACTACTGTACATACAGTATTTATAACATAGGTTTTTACTGTACTTTAAGTATGAATTTGTTTTTTACTTTTTCTAACTTTCTCTTAACTCCTGTAGTAAGTCATCGTTTATGATATTTTTCATATAAGATTAACTACTCATATGAATTCAAGTAAAATAAATATAAATAGCTAAATACTAGCGCTAGTCTCACTGAGTTTCAAGTGTTCATTATTCAGTCCACATGCTGTCATAAAAATGTAATTTAATGCCAATTATGTACATTTAACTCAATTCATAAAATAGTTTACGCTTTGACTTGAGCTTAAAATCATGTCTCAGATCTATAGTAAAGACTCTTTGGACAGATTTGGTGACGATTTGTGTGAAATCCTATTGAGTTACTTATCATTAGAGGACCGATTCAGATATGAATGTCTGTCCACTCAATGGCAGCGATCGGTATTCACAACACAAATCCAACTCATAATTAGTGAGAAATTGAGTCGAAAACTAAATCTTAAATCTAATGATTTGACATCATTTGACACAATACTACAAAAGTGTGTGAATATTCATTGCATATACTTTTGGTGCGAAATGTCCGACAAAATCATTGACTCAATCGTCAAACATTTGGATCATTTAAACGCCATTAATATTAACCTAAATCGCGATATAAGTGTCGATACTATCGACAGATTTTTCGCAAAGTTTGCCAAACAATTGAAATCAATTCAATGGTACGAATACACCGGCGATGATATAGTCGTGAAAAACAAGTCTTTCGAGAAAAATCTCAAACTTTGCAAAAATGTCACTCAAATCGTGTACTCGTCTCATATGGTTAGACATAATCGCACGTTTGGCCGACTATTTAGCCGCCAAAATGAGCTATTATTTCGCAAATTAAGGGACATTTCGTTCATAACTACACCAGAAGTGATGAAAGGCTTCAAGAGATTTGTCGATAACTATGGCAAGAGTTTGCATTCAATTCACGTGGAAATCGATGGCATGTATAGCGAAAACTCGTTCAATAAACTCATCACTGGTTTGTCACAAATGACTGAATTGTGTGATTTGGTCATCAATTTCTACGGATTTTATTATATATTGAATCACTCGATACCAAACCAATTGACACTAATTGGCACCAGTTGTCGACGTCTGAAGCGCCTATGGATTGGATTACCGTATTATTTGACATCAAATCAATGCTCGGATATAATACACGCTATTAATGACAGTTTCAGTCAATTAAAGCGTTTGGAAATTAGCGGCTATTTTCCCGTAGATTATGAGCTAATTAGTGGATCGCTAAGTGATTGCAAGCTACTAAAACTTGTCATTATGAATAAATATCACCTATTAAATGATTAATTATGAATTAGGTTTTATATGTTAACTGAATTACCAAAAGGTACTCGAAATGAAAATGATTATAAAAAATTTGTGAACAAATTTAAAAAATTTTTTACTTAATAATAATTATTGTATTATTCAAACAAGTTCTTGAATAAAGTTTATTTATTTTATTTTATTTATTATTTTGAAATGCAACCTAAATGTTTAAGATAAAGTATTATTATTCATAAATTTATAAAAACTACTAAACGATTAATTATTCATTTAAAATATACTGAAATGTGATAATAATTTATAGCAATTATTTATTGTAAAATATGTAAACATATAGCTTTTAAGTTTTACGGAAATAAAAAATAAATATAATGTTAAATCATACGATACTTTTATTTTGAATGTAATTGAATACAGTATTCTTAGCATTATTTAAATTATACAGTATTTGGAAATATTTCTTAAAGAAAAGTCACATAAATTGAATAAAAATGAAATATATTTCAACTTTATTTATATCCATATGTAAATCATTTAAATAATTAATTTAGATATTTACTAATTAAATTATTTTGTTTATTTCATTGACTAGTGTTTATGGCACACAATGTCTGCGATGGGAATCAATTGGAAATCGGTTTCTATCCCATGATATCCACCAGTGATTGCGGTATTGGACGCCATTTCACTCGACCCGATGACCAGTGTTTTCGGTGGCATAAAGTCATCGACATATCTGCGCCTATAGTAAACAACCGATTAGCTGAGCCTGGTCAGATGCCATGGACGGTATTTCTAAATTACAAATTTGGGAAACATTTGTTTTGGGGGATCTATACTAATTATTGGTGAATATTTTTAAAAGTATAAAATACATTAAGCATTAAGTTTGAAATATAATATAATATTTTGTTTTTCGAAAACATATCTACCACATTTTCGAAACCATAAACTAAATAAATATAACTAAAACAATACGATTTTAGATTAAATTCTGTTTAATTGATATAGTATCTACAGTATATAGTTTTGAATTTATATAATTTTATAAAAATGTTAAATAAATGTTAAATTTATAATTTTAAATTAAAATAGCATATTAAAGTTCAATAATTAAACATACTTGCATTCAATAATAAAAATATTATTATTCAATTACATTTACTGTTATTATTAATAATAATTTGGATTTATTAGGAAAATTACTATATTAACAAGATTCATTAGTCAGTCATTTTCATTTCAAAACACTAGACATGTCTTTAGATTCAAAGTTATATTAATAATAAGGTGTATGAATGAGGTGTATGTTAAGCACATGTATGAATTTTGTGTGGTTTTAAATTAGTATAACTTATAATTGAAATGTAATTTAATCAATAAATCTATTGTCAATGGACTATTTGTGATCATCAATTTGTATATGTGTAAGTAAATGTGTTTTATAAAATAATTATTATAATAGTCTAATTATAATTGTAGTTAATTATTATAATAAAATAAAATAGTGTATTAATTAATGTATGATTTTATGTCTAATACAATGATAGGTCTGAATGAATGCATGCATTGTGTAAATAGCAGTGATTCGCACCAAATATACGACACATTCACACAAAATGTCTCAAAGGATGGGAGGAATGACCGCAAGAAGTGTCGACACAAATGTGGACCAAAACTACGCGAAAGACTCTTTCGACAGATTTGGTGACGATTTGTGTCAATACTTATTGACTTATCTGTCACTCGAAGATCGGTTCCGATTTCAATGTCTGTCCAAACAGTGGCAACGAGTCGTATATCACACACAGAAAGACATTATTATTGATGGATATTATGACAAGACTTCGGAAAAAATGACTGGAATTACATATACATTGAAACCAAAAACATTTGATTCAATACTAGAAAAGTGTGGAAATATTACAAGAATTTCATTCATTGAATATCAATACAAAGTGAATGACTGTATGATTGAGTCGATTGTCAATCATTGCAAGCATTTAAAGGATTTTCGCATTGATTGCAAACTCAATGTAAGAGTCGAGACATTGGAAAAGTTTTTCACAAAGTTTGCCAAACAATTGAAATCATTTGTATTCAAAGCATGCGATCAAAGAAAGAGTTTACAGAAATGTTTCGTCAAAAACATCAAATTGTGCGCAAATATCACACAATTTAATGATCCGTATTATACTACGTATGGTAATAATCAAAATGACTGTTTGTCTCATATATTGAGTGACAATAGAAATGATATATTGTTTGCAAATTTAAGAAGATTTGACTTTCGCTACTCTAATGGAAATCATAATAACTTTGAAATATTTGTGCAAAACTATAAAAATAAGTTGAAATCAATTCAAGTGTTCACTGATTATAGATGTGACGCCAATTCATTCGCTATTGTAATGCAATGTTTGTCACAAATGTCTGCATTAATTGATTTGCAAGTAATTGATTATTACACTGAACTCGCATTAAGACCCAAATTTGCGGATCAATTGAAACAAATTGGTGTCAATTGTAGAAACCTTAAGAGATTTTCACTGCATTTTGATGCAATATTTGCATTATTGCCGACAATTAATGAGTACTTCAAACGTGTGAACCGTTTGCAAATGTCCACTGATCAGTTTGAAAGCGATTTTGTGTTAACCAATGAGTCGTTGACTGCTTTCAAACGGTTAACACATTTAACGCTAAGAAATATCTATAAAATAAACGCCAATACGAATGACTTTTTTTTGACAAATGTGTCTCAAAATATGCCAAAACTTCAATTCATTGATTACCACTATAATCACCCAAATTATTTGTATGACATGTATTTACAATTATTATCTAATTTGGCAAACTTGCACGCAATTCATCTATATAATGGGTATTATTATTATTACGCTAACCCTCAGCAGCAAACGCTATCTATTAATGATTACATCAAGAATTGGCCCAAAATTAAGACAATTGTAATTCACGGCAAGAATTATATCTAAAACTTTATTATAAGAGTATTATACTATAACTCAAATAAATAATACTATAATTAATGCTATGATTGTAATACTTACTAGAAATTTATAATTTATTTGATTATTTGCATAATAAAAGTTTAAATTCAATTACAATCATTTGTGTGATAATATCAATATCAATTTGTTCATTAACTTATTAGTAAACCTAAATTTGAAATTGTATAAACAATTAGTGTATAAGTATTTAATGAAAACAATTTCTATTATAAAATGTATGTTAATTCAGATTGAAATGTCTGTAATGTTTTTAATTTATTGATTTCACAATTAAATATAAATTTAATAATTATACAAATGTTTGTCAAATGAATAAATGACTACATTATGAACGCCTTGGCATTGATTGCAAGCCTTCATCCCCTCCCTCACCACTGTCTGCCTCCCTGTCCTCAATACGTTCACACAATTTGTTTGAACAGTACTTTCGGGCCATTCGTCTCAAACTGATTGCCATTTGTTGACCGCTTTTGTCGACTAATTTCGTGAACACACTATCGCTTCGTTGCAGCAAATGGTATGCCGTTCCCGACTCCACCAACTCTCCTGAGTCTAACACCTATAATGTAAGTGAAACACATTATAACCACTTCCCTCACACGCATGCCGTCCCCCTCTCTCCCCCAACCCATACGCACCAGAATGAGGTCGGAGTCGATGATAGTGTGGATCCGGTGGGCGATCGTAATGACCGTACAGTTCGTGAACTTCTGTCTAATAGTGGTCTGAATGAGTGCATCGGTTCTGTGGTCCACATTAGCGG